CTCGTAAAAGTAATTGTTGTCTTCAAGATGAAGTGTTCTTCGACTACCACACGGCCTTGTATTCAAAAGTCTTAACTATTTTAGCATAAGCGAGGAAATACATTTACTAATACTTGTATATCCGGTTCGCCCTTTTCGATGAATGTTTCTCATTCAAACTGCATAGTGAAATCTTAGATTATTATTATTCCATAGCGAATACATGATGGTCTAGCTTTCGACAAGACACAATTTCTCTATACGACCTATATTTTTTATAAAATGAAGAGACTATCAGCTCTTCTAGATATTTTGTCATTAAATTTTTCCTTCAATTTTCTTCCAATTGCCAAAAAGGAGAAAATAAAAACTCCACTACCCCCCTCCCCGTAATCGAAGCCCCGGGGGCTTCTAAACTGTCCAAGCGTTCAAAATTTGTAGGGGGAACTTCTAATATGTCTCACTATTTTTCAAGAGTTTCACGTACAAAAATTTTGTAACAGTTGTCAGGGTTTTTCGGAGTTCTTCGAAGGGTTTTTAAGGGGATTTGGAGAATTTCATGCTGGTAAGTAAAATTTAAACGAGTTTTACCTTAAAAACTTGACAGCTTTTACTGTGAAAATACTAATAAAAGTTTCCAAAAGTTTCAAACATTTTTTAAAATGACGGGGCTTCTAATACATTTTCCACATCGACTCCTCCAGTAGGGCTTCTATTACGGGGGGCGGGTTAACCCTTAGTTAATTCCAACTAACTCTGGAAGTCAACATTCTTGGTTTAAGCAAAAACTTCGAACCATGAACCAAGTGTTGGAATCCTAACATGACAGTTGAGTAGAAGAGCACTTAATAATTATTTTTTTCCTTCTTTTTTTGTCCCTTTCGATTTTTTCTTCTAACTGTTTTCATCGTCTCCTTTCCTAACATGCACATTCAATTGTATAGGCCGAGTAGAAATAAGACGTCTAATTTTTTCTTTCGCTATTTAGGATGCACTTACACTATAAATCTGAGGAAAACACAAAATATGCATGCGTACAGACTCTACTTTTTTTACGGTTTAGTCACATTGAACGAAAAAAATGTATGTGTATAATACACATTCATTTTTTTCTCGTTCACCTATCGGATACAGAAACAAAATTCTGATATGTTTCTTTTTCTTAGACGGATGTAATTTCTGATATATTCATAATATAAATATCCGTTTCTACTTATTTTTCCGGTACAGAAAGACATGTGGGACAATTTTCCCAATGAAATACTGCTCGAAATAATTCAATATCTATCTATTACTGATTTATTTCATTCATTATTAAACATTAATTTGAGAATAAAATTACTTATAAACAAGTATACACCAGTAAGGATTGATTTTTCCTCTATTATTGAGAAGTCTGAATTTGATTCTTTATGTCAAACTACAATAGCGTCTACCAATTATCCTTATTTATGTGATTATTTAAAACTGAGTAATTTACGTGTTCCATGTCAAATTCAAATCTTTTTCACTGTGTTCGATCTATCGTTATTTGCCAATCTAAAATCGTTGACTATTATCGCCATTCGATTCACTGAACTAACGACGATTATGCAACATAAATTACCGCAATTGACAAATCTTACCTACTTAGCTATTAAAACAGATGAAATAATGCAATGTGATCAACGAAAATATTTTTATCGTATGATATTTATCGATCTTTCCTGTTTATCATTGAGAAAATTAATTGTAAAATTTGGTAATCCACCTAGAGAAGCTAATTATTCGCTAGCAGATTGTATAACGTGTAATAGCAAAGTTACGAATCTGAAGTATGTTGATATCGACTCATGTTATATGACCGATTTAACACGATTATTCAAAGATTGCATACCCAGTATTAAGCGTCTAAAGATGAATTTATTGGGCGATGGCGAGTATATTCACCACTAGAAATGAATCTGGTTAAAGTATATCTCTTTCTGAAACTTCTTGTAACCACGACGTTGGATTCAAACATGTGACATGAACTTGAAAGAAACATCAATAGGTCAAAACCTTATATTTTTGATTCTCACACTCGAGATATT